TGAGGAAACGCAGAAACATATACAGACTAAGACAGAACAAGACAAGGAACACAAAGGCTAAACACACACACCACAATTGCTTGCATTCACACGACCTGATGTTGCTTTCACTTTGTCCCTGACCATACTCACCACTCTCCAAAATGTCAGTCACTCGTGTAACTCTTCCAAAGGGTGTCCACTCGGATCGCCGCAGGGTGAGAAGTTCCACTCCGTCCTTGGACGCCAGGTTTTCATCCCGGGTTTCGGCACCAGCTATTGCATCCCGCCACCTAGGGCGACAGCAGGAGAATGATCACCGAAGGCCTGGTTCGTTAGGAATCTTTATTATGGGCGTCCGAGCAAAAAACAACAACCACACCCACTTCCTCCAGGGCAGCAGCTTATATAGCATATCCCAACCAATCAGCTGACTGATCACGCGCCAGGTTCAGTCTTATTGGAAACATGTGAAAAGCATGCTATGAGCACGAGCACGGAAATGGGGACAAGCCAATCATGGAGACTTCCTTATGTGCTGAGCTGCAGGGCCAGGAAGGGTGGTGTCTAGGAAGCAGGCACCATCTTTAGGGCATTGTCCAGCTAGAGTGGGGCTCAGCCTCGGCCGTAGGCTGGGCCCCCACAAAATGTGTATACTTTTCACTGCAGTAGATTAAACCACATAGTTTTTATTCCCAAAAATATCATTTCATTTCACAACAGAGGTGAAGTACCAAAAATACAAAAAGAAAAGTAGATGATATTGCACAACTTTAAAAAAATATAGGTGTACATCGAATGGGAAATCAGGGAATGGTGCTCAAGATGAGATATGAAGAAAAAGTAAAAAACTCTGAAAGGACAATTTTAAAGCTTTATTTAACTTTCAGAGATTAACTCTGAAAGAAAGTTGAAGTTTTAAAATAGCAAAGAGGAATCTAGTAGAGAAAAATCCTGTTTTTAGCATTGGCTATGAAATTAGTTAATCCATGTCTTTGGTGTCTCAAGGAATCACTGCTTTAAATACTAGATTCTTAAATATGAGACATTTAGAGAAAATTCTATTCAGTTAAATTATGTACATTCAATTTCAATTTGTATAGTAAAATTTATTGAAATCCTGTCCCTAAATATAATGGTATTAAGAAGTGGGGACCTTTGGAAAGTAATTAGGTCATGAGGGTGAAACCCTCATGAATGGGATTAGTGTCCTTATAAAAGGGACCCAAGAGAGTTCTCTCACCCTTTTACTACCATGTGAGGATACAGTGGGAATTCAGCCATCTGTACCCTGGAAGAGAGCTCTAACTAGAACCTGACCATGCTGGTGCTCTGATCTTGGATGTCTAGTCTCCAGAATTTTTAGAAATACATTTTTGTTGTTTATAAACCATCCAGCCAATGGTACCTTTTCTTATAGCAGCCCAAACTAAAATATCATTATATGTTATTTCCTTTTCATATAAAGAAAAGCTATTGCTTCTTGAAATTGTCTTACTCAAATTTCCTATTTTGTCTTTTATAGTTTCTTAGGTATTTCTCTTAGAGTTTCTAGGTATATAATCAAGCATCTTCTGAATAATTTTATCTTGTCCTTTCTACTTTTTTTTACCACTCTCCCCTTCTCTAATTAAGTTGAATCTTCTACCCAGACAATGTTAAATTTATAAGTAATATTCACGGGCATTCTTCTAGTATTCTACACTTGTGTATGATTCCATTTCTTAGGAATTTATTGTTGCCATGTTAAGAAAGCATTCATCTTTCTTAATTAAATGTTTTTACCAGGAAGAAAGTTGAATTCTATCAAATGTCTTTTTAGTTGAAATACTTGATGAGCTACAATGAACAAAATTAACAGCTTTTCAATTAAGCCATGCTTGCCTTCCTGAAATCAAATATAGTTGGCCAGGACGTGTAACTCAGTAACATGTTACCACATTCTATTTGGGATTAATTTCATTAACATTTGTATTACTGTAAATAAGAAGAATGATTCTGAAAGTTTTTTGAAATTTTTGAAAATGACTTTGAAAATCTAACAAATTGTTAAAATTGACATTTTTGACAAAGCACAAGATAAAATATAATGTGCTAGACATTCCTCCATTCCAAAGTAGGTTTTATACCTCATACAATATTTACAACAAAAATATCCCTAAACTGATAATGCATCTTAAACCCCAAAACCTCCCTTAAGAATTTACATGGTTGAGAGTTGGTATTAAAGAGGAAGTTCTGTGAAAAGAAATATTGATGACATCAATGTCCTGCAGCAGGGAAGATTTGAGTGGGTCTCGCTCTCACCTCAAGGGTAGTAAAAGAAGTTTGAAGGGACTACTTAGAAAGCTATTTGTGTTCCCTGAAATTTGTGACTCATGCCTAAAAAGAGATTTTGAATAAAACTGGAGCTGGGAAGTTACTTCTTTCTCTCTGAATGTGGTTCAGTTGTGGGGTGATCATGGTGACCACATATGGATCCCAGGAAGAAATGTTCTCCTAGGGTTATTTCAAGTGTGACTCCTCCCCCCCTGTCCCCATCAGGAAGGTTGCCTTTTAGAGTGAGGAGTTCAGCTGGAAAAGGATGTCAGGTGTCCACCTAGAAGAAAACCCTCTGTGGTGGAGTTAGACCTGACAAAGGACGGAAGCTGCCATGGCCCAGGAGTTTTAGGAAAAGCACTCCACAGATTTATCTTTAGAAAACCCATAAGAGTAGCAAGTAAAAAAGTTGGCTTTAAATATCAATGTCCAGAAATCATGAAGATATCTGTCAAATATAAGCTTTCCTACTTGCCTTACTTCTCTCATATTTAACTCCTCTCCCAATCCCACCTGTCAACTTTGACTCAAATGCTGTTAGATTAAGGGATACCAAGCGGAGAGAGAGAGATCAGTGAGAAGGAAAGAGAATTAAGCACCCTATCTTCCCCTGCAAGTAGTCAGCATAATGGAAATCCCAGCTGGAAGGGAAAGAAGATTTCATTTAAAACCAACTTCAGGGTTTTGATCATTACACAGAACTAGTTGTTTCAAAGGTTTGCAACTTAAAGGGATGGTCAGAAAGTAGTGGAACCTAGTTCCACTTTTTTTATCTAGGGGCAGAGAAAGGATAATGCTCACTAATCAGGTTTAAAAGAATGGGGAGAGTAAAAAAATACTTGATTTTATAATCACATACCTAGAGTTGTTTTTGTTCAGTGTACAATATCTATTTAGTACAGTGAAATTTTGGTAACCATGAAATGCCTACTTCAGAAAAGTATTTAGAAACTTTTCTTCTTTCTTGGAGCTTTAGAACAGTTTTGATAGACACCTAAACCACCTTTGGGAAAATCATAGAGCTATTCAATTATTTAATTTTCCTCTTTGCTTACAGACCAATGTTGTGGGACCCCCTCCCAGTTGAGAAAACCCCTCCCTGCTGCTTTAGGTGAACATTAAGGTTTCCCAGTGTACCTGTCTTGCACCAGCTGCTGTATCACTTAGAGAGCCATTGTTTATCACTTATTATATCTGAGCTAAATGATGCTTAATTTACCTTTCCCACCTCTTCCATACTCAGAACACACACAGCAACATATGAGATCTGTTTATCTTTTTGGGTCTTGTTCTTCCTGATCCTTATAATATCTCAACTTTGCTACTACTTACCTTCCAAAGACTACCAGAAAAACATGATAGTCAATCAAACTTAAGTTTATTATACCTACTGCAGCAAAGGAAAACTTTATCTTGACAAAGTCTTTGAAGGATCTCAGAGGGGAACACCAAGAGAAATGTACATTTTTAGGGCCTCAGCTGGATCATTATAATTTGCGTCTTGAAAGGTGATAGAACAGCTATATATTCAGGCAAAATTTTATGATATGACTTTGGATTGGTGGGCCCAGCAACGTGATAGTGAGAGGAGATTCTCTAAGCAACATGAGCAAGCTCTGAATTTGATTTGTAAACTATTTTCACACTCGATCAGGAGCAACTTTTTCCTGAATCAGTAGCTAAGTACTTCTTGCTTATTCTTAGTATTGTTTAAATATGACTTAAGCAAGTATGCTCAATCACAGGAATTTTAAGCTGGATACAGAAAAATATGTTTCATCCCAGTATTAACACAGAGAAAAGGACTTGTATCAGTTTCAGTTCTCAAAGTTCTACATACTCAACTCTTGGAAAGGAAGTCTCTTAGAATTATGATTTTACACCTTCAGTGAGTAAGCCTCAGTGAGTAAGCCTCATTGAAAGAACACACAGAAACATGTAGTAGCATGTTCACATCTGTTTAGTATGCAAAGTTTTCAAAGGAATTTATGTGTATATTCTGCATAGCAAAAATTGCCCTTCTAGAAATTTGCCATGAGGTGTCTAGTAAGACATTGCCTACAAGGTCTAAATGAAGAGATACGTAACTTGTATGAGACTCAGATGCTAAGTTTTACTCAAAAGCCTGCAAAATAATAATGCTGAATTGTTACCTTACGTTCATAAAAATTATTCATTTATTAAACAACGTTAATCAGCATCAGTCTACCATTCATTGCAAATGTTATTTAAAGCAATTTAAAGGCAAAGTTTTTAAGTGCAATTGAATATTTATCTGAAACCATTTTTATCTTTTCCTTAATCATCTCACCCTGAATCATAAGTTGTATTACAAAGACATACCTTGTATCTTGCCCATTCATCTAGCACAGGGTTTTGCAATAATAGTGCGGCTGACATTTTGAGCTGGATAATTGTCTGCTGTTGGGGGCTGTTTTATGAATTGCAGAATGTTTATCAACTCAGTAGATGCTAGTATCAATGGCTCCACCTCACCCCAAACCAGCTATGACAACCAAAAATTTCTCCAGAGATTGCCAAATATAGTGGAGTTGGGGGTGGGGCCCCCTCCCAGTTGAGAAAACCCCTCCCTGCTGCTTTAGGTGAACATTAAGGTTTCCCAGTGTGCCTGTCTTGCACCAGCTGCTGTATCACTTAGAGAGCCGTTGTTTATCACTTATTATGTCTGAGCTAAATGATGCTTAGTTTACCTTTCCCACCTCTTCCATACCCAGAACACATAGGCAAGAACCAGTTAGGGGACTGAGATGCCTCTAGGAGCAGCCTTGAATTTGTTTTCTTCAATTACAAGGTGTTATTTTCCGGCAGAGGACTTAGCTCTGTACTTTCTTCCCCTTAGGATCACTTCTGGTTTCCTCATTATAGTTCCATGTCAGTTTCCAATAGCAGGATCCTGCCAACCAAGTCCTATCCATACAAGATGCTGTTTTCAGTGACACATTTCATCGGTTTAATAAACTGTCTTACACAAGACACACTATTCTGAGTATAATAAAAGCATTAGTTTTTGACTGAAATTTATATTGGTTTCATAAGAGGCTGTTATTGGAAAATCATGATTGCGGTTCACTCTAGACTGAGCTGTTAAGCAGGAAGAGTCACGAACTTCCCGTTTCCCATTCTCTGAGTGCTTCCTCCACTCCCACGGGAGCGATTAATGCAATGGCAGAGTCAGTCTGATTTTCCTCCTTTGTTTCAAATGGCAGCATGAATAACATAATCAGATCTTTATTGGTGATTCATGAAAATTGTCCTTAGTTTCTTATTTCACGAAAATCTATCATTGAAATGTTTACCTTTTTAAATAAATCTTTGCACGACTCCACATTTTCAGCTTGTTTAGTAGTTCTTATATAAGTAGAGGGAGAAGCGAATCAGAGAGGAAGAAGAAATGTGGCAATCAAAGATATAGCCCTTCAATGGGCTACATGCCTCCGTCCACCACCAAAAAATTACATCCACAATGTAATTCCTTTGAGATACATTTCACATAAAAATCAGTGAAGATGTGACGGAAAGAGTAATAGTAATTGTGATAGCCAGTGAGAAATCGGGCTTCAACCTCCTTTTAAAACATTTAGTGTCTCCTTGTTTCCTTTATTCATAAATAAGGGTAAGTAGTTTTCATTAATCTATTCAATAAGAATTTATTGAGCACCTAATATGTGCCACATATTATATTTTGTGTTTAGAACACAAAGCTAAATGTGAAAGGCTTCTATGTTGTCTACATTAAAATCTGTTAATATTAAAAAAATAACTCATCTGATAAGCAAAATGTTATGCAAATAAGGCTTGGAACACAGACTATAAATCAAAACCTGAAGAGTTTAGCAATTAATGACAATATTCTATTAATATAAATTGTGTAGATTTTGCAAATTTATGTGCTCTATTTCTATACATAAAAGTTTCTAAATGATCATTAAATGTAACTTGAGGAAATGGTGAGAAACATCATGTAATAGGAATGCTTATATTATACAGCCCTGCATCAATTTATGCAATTAAAATAAATAAAATAAAAATTCCTAAGGACCAGGGAATGGAATCTCTAATGCTTTGGTTGAATTAAATACAATATTAATTCAAGAATATTTTAGAAATATTTATTAAATCTAAAATGAGTATATCCATTTAAGAATATGGGTAACTATTGAACCTCTGTGTTTTATACCTGAAATCAATATAAGATTATGCTAACCATAGTTGATATAAGAGTATATCAACTGTACTTCAATAAAAAAAATTAAAAAATAAAATGATCATATCCTTGACAAAGCATTTTCATTTCTAGATATTTATCCTCCAGAAACAAGTGCTAAAATATAGTATATATGTACAAGAATATTCACTTCCACATTTTTTTGATAGCTAAGAACTTAAATTTCTATCTGTAGGGAAAGAACTATGAGAGATCTATTTAATGGAGTAGCATGAGCCACTAAACATAAGATAAAGACAAATTTAGCATCATGAAAAAGCGTTCAAAATATTGCTAGATGAAAATAGTCAGATTTCAGAGCAGTATGTATTGTATGACATATTTCTATAAAAATAGGATAGAAATAATATTACTATATGTATAGTAGGACTATGCAGTCTAAAGAACTATATAGCCAGCAACTAAGTGGTGGAATTAAAGAGGACTCTCATTTATTTCCTTAACATGTGAATTTTAACTTTTTCTTCATTATGTAATTAGAAAAAATAAGGCAATATGAAAATTTATGTCAATAACATTGTCTTTGTTAGGATTTGAAATTTTAAAAATGATGGGTCAGTTTTGCTTCTTTTGTTTTTATACCAGTTAGAACTTCTAAGCTGTGTAGCACTAACATTATTAAACATTGTTATCCCACGTTGTTACTTAAGTAGTTTTTAATTAGTCTTTACTAAGAGAAAACATGAGCTGGTATAGAGTGAGTTTGTCAAAACAAAAATGTGAACTCATATCATAAGACTTACACACATGGAGTATTTGACGTCTTTCTCTGCAAATTTACCAGGAGTTCAACATTTTTCAGTTTCATTTTTTTATGACTGTATTTGTGTCTAACTGCATTGTAAATTACTCTGATGAGTTACTGGAACATTTTCCTTGGCTGCTTCTGTGTTTTTTTCCCCATTGAATTTTGGTCTCTGAATTAACTAGGTTAGAAAACAAATGCAAGTTAGTTAACTGTGCTTAAGCCATGAAACCCTACTCTAGTTGGGTAGTAGTTGCTATATCAGTTACTAGATGAAAAATGTGAATTATAATCACTTCACCTCAGAATGTGCTAAAAATGAGAGCACTCCATGTATAGGCTAAAACAACTGCTTCAGAAATTTTTGGAAAATCTTCACACTTCTTCAAAATGTCAGTCAAGGTATATTTCCATATAGAATACATGGTAACATCAACATTTCCTTAGATTTTATTGTGGGTGCTTTGTTTACTTTATATTAATACGTGATACAACTTCAGGAAACTTTTAAAAGTTGATGAAGACCAACAAGTTTTCACTACAGGAAGTTTCATGTAAGATTTCCTTATGAAGGTAATAATACTGGTGCATTGCACTCTAGTTTAATAATACACTGTGGAAAAAAATACCAGAAAGGCAACCTTTTGACAAAATAGAGTAAATCTGGATTATGCAGGGTAAATTGAACAAGTTCGGTGGTGCCTTGTGAAGCTCTTTACAAGCTCATGACCTTATTGTTTTTAGTTCCAGTAGCATTATCTTGCCACTCTTTAGCCTCTACACTCTCCTAACACAATACCTAATATACTCTCAGGGAGGTATTAGGAGAGTGAAACGTAAATATTACAGAAAAACTAATAGAATGTTGTAAAGGCCTCTTGTCATTAGAATGTTATATTTATGTACTTGTATGTATAAAGAACATCATCAACTATACCTTTATAGTGGACTGGGGCCAAATCCAAATATAAGTGCCAGTGCCATTATGTCTGTTGAAAGATTTTTAAATAAAAGAAAGGAAAAGTTGAATTTTAGTAAAATTCTATTTGTTGACTAAATCAACCATACTTAAATTCTTAAATGCATTATTCTTAACTACATTAGCCCATTCAATGGCCACTTTTCAGTTCATACATTTTCATTATAGCCCAAGGTTCCCATTGAAACTCATCAGTAGCGTATACTTAGCTTTACTATGCCTGCTATTTAGCGACATAGAACAGGCTCCTAACCTGTACTTGTAATTTAAAAGTGATTTTTTGGAGTAGGTGTTAGCTAGACAAAAGAATAAAACATTTCATTAGAGGGTATTGTATGTACAAAGATTTAGAATGAAGAGAAAGAAGTTCAGAATGGATTGAGTGCATAATTCTATGTTCTTTAATTAATTACACTATCGTATCTTCTTAGAGCAAAAGTAAGGTTATAAACTTATATTTTCATTGTGTACTTCCGGAAACCATACAACTTCTAGCATTAAATATTATTTTCATATGGGATGAGCTATTATTAAAACTGTTTTTAGGAAACCAGTAGAAAAATAACATGTTGATAATAGACAAAAAAGAAAATGTATTGTTCTATGTACAATTCTTTTTTTAATTAGTTGACATATCCATTGATTAATATTATGTATTTCTAATATTGAGACAGTTCATTAATAATTGTAGCTTAAAATTATTGAATAGATGTAAGTGCTGAAACCCCCTTTTCACATAAATAAGTAGATGGGAATTGTTATGGTGACGGCAGATAATTGTTTGAATCAAATCATTGAGTTATGTGAAAGAAAATGCTGTCATCAAAATTTATTTTTAATGAGTAGTTGGAATGCCAGTCATATCATGCTTCAATTTAAATAAGAACGATGAATTAGTGAATTAAAAAACTGATTTGTGATTAGTCATCAGTCATTAAATACTCATTTTCCCAACACCAACATCAGCCTTCCAATGGTCTCTTGGTTTGGCATGGAGGAGGTAACACATTTGGGCAATTCACCTTAATAAGATGAGTATTAGAGAAGACAAAGAATTTTTGTTGTTGTTATTTGGGAAAGAGTGCTTGTAAAAAAGGAGGTAAAGCAGAGAGCCAGCACATGCCCAAACAGATTCATTTTAGGCATAAACATTTTTTTTATTCCAGGCATTTTATGGGAGATCAGTTCTAGGAAGCTGAGAATCTGGAAAATAATTAGTTTAAAATCATCCATATCCAAATACTAATTGGTAAGTCTTCATGCATTCTCCCTGCAAGGGTAGGAGTTATCTGGTTTAAGGTCATCTTAATGTTCTGGCCTAAGATCAAGATTTCATTTACATTTCCTTCTTCAAGTAAACCCAAGGGTTCGTCACCTGCCCCCGTTTCCTAGGGCCTACCCACAACAGCCACAGCACCCACTCACTCACTCACTTACCACTCTGTTTTCACTTCTCTCTTTGTTGGTGGCATCTGGGATCTCACTTTCTTCCCTGCGTGTTCAAAAACACATATGCAAAAATTTTGGTTATAGTTTGCCAGCGTTGTGTATTGGGAAAACTCTTTAAGTTATTTTAGTTTGTTATTCTATCTGAATAAGAAGTTCAAGTTAGAACCCAAGTTGTTCAGAAATCTCTGTATGGGAGAGGCTTAAGAGTACATTCTTGCTGAAATGTAGAAACCAGTCTTGACGGCATAGCATGCACACTCTGTTTTTTTTCTTTGGAGTGTATAGAATACATCAATATATAAGAATTTTATGATTCCATTCACACCTCCATAATATTTAGAAACTATAAAGAGATCAAGGCGGGGTGGGAGGATGGAGGCAAAAGGAGCTAAAAATACCTTAAGACACCCTTTATGCCCTCCAGCATGCCAAGAAATAAAGCTAACACTACAACAGATATACCAAGAATGATATAGTGAACCAGCTATCTACAGAGTCACTTAATAAACATTTTGATATCTATGAATTACAAATACTATGCTGTGGGTTGATGAAAAACAACATATGCAAAATAATCAACTGATGGGTAAAAGTGTGCCCAGTACTAAATAATAGTAATGACATTTGAATTTATATATTCTATAAGGTGTATCCTTTGAACTCAAATCTAAAAGACTCCTTAAAATTTTGTTTATTGCATACCATTTACCAAGGGACCAACTGTATGGTGTTGCTTAATGGTTTTCCAATTACTGATAGGGTCTATTAAAGAAGATATTTAAATCGATCAATCAATCAATCAATCAGTCAGTCCAAAACAAAAGATGGTAAGCTTTTTAACTGCAGGAAACAAAGAGTCATTAAAATTGCCTGAAGTCAGAAAATTGAATCCAGGTAACCTTGCTGATGTAAGTGATGCAACTGAAGTTTCGAACAGTGTTGGGAGATGGCAGAAGAAGAGGAAAGCCTGCAGGTTCCTCTCTGCATTTACTTTCATGCCGCAGTGGTTCTTGGATTACCTTACTCTCTGCTCTTTGGTCTGGAATGCTGAAATGCTCATGGATAATGACAGGATTGTGTAGAACTATGGCAATGGGCAGTGAGTAGCATTTTCAGTGCTCCCTGAAGTACTATATGATTTTCTTCCAATTTACCTAAAAATAATCAGTAGCCCCTATTTGCAGAGATCATTTTATGTTGAACAGGGTATTTTTTTATCCCTGACTTCTTACTGACATGCACTAATAAGGTTTGTTACTGTTCTTTTCAGCGTGGCATTAAAAATACTTCATGGAACAAACTTTCCCTACTGAAGAACCTCTTGACCCTCCCTGTGATATGCCCCCTCGAGATCACACACACCCTCTACATCCAGGCCTAGATCACCAGGACTTCAGAATTCCATGTCCAATGGTCCTGAGTTTTCTCCAGGCTCTATCCTCTCAAGGGCAGACTGAATTATTATTTGTATATCTCTAGACCCAGGAAGTGGGGCTGGAATGGGGAATCTACAAACATCACACACAAGACAATGTGAGATGGCACTTGGGGTGCGATACAAAGAAAAGGGGGGACAGGCTTCAGGCCAAGTGCTGGCTCTCTCTCCATGCCCCTATGTTCTGGTGTGGGATTAAAAAAAAAGTCATAGATTATATTTGCTAAGGTATAAGGAGGGTATATCATTAATATAACAATTATTAGATGGAATTATTACTTTTAAATATTTAAATATGTAGTATAAGGACCTGGTACCAGTGCTTGTTTTTTTTTCCATGAGCCCTACATTAGATGAGGCCAGGCCGCTAAACATCCATCATAGCTAAAGCAGCCACATTACCAGAACTTCATAAGATACTATTTTCAGAAGATCAAACGCATACCCAATTAACCAAGCTATAAAGCAGTTTGCCAGGCAGAGATTTAAACACAGTACAAAGTCAGTATAAGGTTGGAAAATATTTTAGCCTGCTTATTTACTCTCCACCCCAAAGCAGAACTTAAGAATAGAGCTTTTGTGAAACTGGATTTTTTTCAGAAAGTGTTCTCAAAAAGGTTGAGAACTGGGAAAAAGTGAAACAGAAATGACGGCAAAGTCAATCTAAAGCTGTATCAGTGAGCTGGGTTTCTGTGGGCCACAAGGGCTCAGTTCTGCTGGGGACCTGAAGCTACTGTGTAAAATGCACCTCAGAACTGCCATCTAAGGATGTTGTAGAGGAGTACTTGTCTGCTGGCTCCCACCTAATCAGTATTCCCAAGGGTGTTAACTCTGCTCTTTCAGATCTGTGCACATATCAGAGTGACTGAGCAATCTCTGCAGTCTGGAGTCCTATTTCATGGAAGCAGAGATGGTTGGGGAAGACAGCCATAGGCATATGCTGCAACTGAACACAAGGTGCTGTCAGATCTGCATCTGTGGGCAGTGGGTTGCCATAGAAATGGCTAGAGTAACAAGGTAGGCTGAGAGGATGTGAAGTAGGCACAAGAGATTCCTGGTATGAGAGGTAGTGGGTAGCGAGTGGGAAATTGTTCCTTCAGGGAGGAATCAGGAAAAACAGTGATTTGTATTTAAACAGTGCTCCAGAGAATGTGTAGACAGTAACAGTTGGAGATGGAGGATGTATTAGTTTTCGAAGTCTGCTGTAACAAAATACCACTCATTGGAAAGCTTGAAACAGCACAGCTTATTCTCTCATATTTTTGGAGACTAGAAGTCCAAAATCAAAATTGTTTTTCTGAGGCCTGTAAGGGAGAATCTGTTCCATTCCTCTGTCCTGGCTTCTGGTATGGTCAACAATCCTTCTCGATATATCACCTCAATCTTCACATGGCATTCTCCCTGTGGGTCTGTGTCTTCATAGGGCCTTCTTATTAGCACAGCAGTTATATTGGATTAGTGGCCCACTCTACTCCAAAATGACCTCATCTTAACTAAATACATGTATATTAACTTTATTTCAAAGAAAGGTCACATTCTGAGGGAAGGCAATTCAACCCATAACAGAGAAAGATCATTGTTGGCTAACAGAATTTTTGAAAAATAGTGCAAATGCTTAAAACTATTCAGGAAATTTCAATAAAATGTTGTGGCTGGAACTTCGAGTGAGAAGGAGGAAATGGAGCCTTGTTAAGTGAGGTGTGGGTCAGGCCATTAGGGTTCAGAATGCAGGTGTAAGGACTAGGGGTTTTGTGCTTCTGGGAACCACCCGAATCCTGTTGCAAAGAGGAATGCAGTCTATGTTTCCTTCTACAGCATCAGGTATTGTGGGTAAGGATTGGAAAATATTCAATTAATACTTTCTTTTATTTTTCATGTTTCTTTAAAATCAAGGACTTTCTGTAATCCTCTTTGTAACTTTTAAGTTCTGCAGTATATTTCTGATGGTATTAATGTTCAAAATAAACTTCTGAGTATTCTTTCTTTAGAATCCTAGATTCCCTTTTACAAAAGAAAATTAGAAAAGAGCTGTGTTGCTTCTACATGTTTCTACATCAAGGTCAGCAATGCAAAGGAACAAAAATGGTATGAAAATACTAAACCTTTTCAATAAAACTTTCTGTATTTTTACTCAAATGTCACTGGACACATAGAAAATCAATAAACTTAACTACTTAAAGCCATAGTTACAATATGTAACCAAATTTAAATCACAATGAAAGTGCAGCGCATTATTAGTAGGGTTTTTTAAATGTTGCTCTTCAATGTTAGGGCAAAGACACTGAAAAAAAAAAAAGAGGAAATATCCATAGAACATATTGTTACTCCAAATTAATTACAATGGATAGACATGCGGTGAGCGATTCCAGATGGCTTGAGTGTCCATAGACTGATAATCTGTGCTCACAACTTGCTGAAAATTAAAGTATGTGAACTAGAAGACAAGAATACATGATCAGACTTGGTTTAATTGGTATCTTGAAGGGGACCTGACTCCCATGAGCTCTGTCTTCCCTTAGGCTCTCCGAAGTTGCTCTACTCAGTTGGAAACAGGAATGTCTGCTCTCTACACAGAGTCTGGTTTACAAGTACTAACAATGCAAGTAAAGAGGGGCACTTGGTGTTCAAAGGGCTGATCCGCATGTGAGCTTGACTTGTACAATAAGGGAGCCATTTCCACATCATCAGAGAGCCAGGAACAGCCAGGCTTTGACAGGGCAACGAAAACGTGTGACCTCTCGCTGGTACCCATTCACTCTTGTCAGAGACACTGGCGTGAATGGGCTTGGATAAATACAAAACTGGGCGTCCCATGCACTCCTCCATTACACACATGTCAGTATGTGGAGATTTCTGCCTGAGAGGGAGCCATGAAAAATAGAAATCCAGCATATGGTCGATGAGGGCTGCAAAAATCATGGAGAGAAAGTCACCCTCCTGAGGCTTTCATGGGCACTCTTCAGTAATTGCTTAATTGAAATTTTATTCCTTTCATTGAACCTCACAGCAGGAATGAATCTAAAATTACAAAGCAAGTTTTGATATTTCATTCCTGCCCTTTATACCTGTGGGTGAAGAATGGGCATTAATTAAGGGATAGCTATGAAACAAATTGCAGGGGAAGAAAGAGGGAAGGTATGAAAATATGTATGAATGTGACTTAAAAGAAGCAACATAAAATTTCTTTTTCCTTTGTAATTGGTAATAGCAACATAGGAAAACAATTTTACTGAAAAAGAGTTTATCCCTTATGGGTGGATGAGAAGGACAATAATTACAGTGAAAAATATTTTTTAAATCACTCAAAGTCCAAGTTTTGTTATTTATAGGCCAAGTGACTTGAGCAATTCACCCCTCAGAGCCTCAGATATTTATAGAACATAGATAATCACTGCAAATTGTTTACTTTATAAGGTGGTTGTGAAAATAAAGTGAGGTAGTACACGGGAAAGCATGCTGCAAATTGTGCAACTTCTACACTCAGAAAATTGATTGATTCAGAGAGGGAGTTAGCCATTAATTTATTTACTAATAGTGTAGTCAAGTATGAGCTGGGAAGAATCAATACACTCCTTATTAATATTCTAACAGAGTTTAACTTCACAAAA